CAGGGTACTTTCCAGGGTACCATTTGCCGTCATCGTAGCCAGTCTTGCCACCCTCATACTTGCCCTCGTGCCAGGATCCGTCGTCGTTGCGCTTCTCCTTGCCGCCGGGGTATTTGCCGGGATACCATTTGCCATCGTCGTACTTGGTCTGAGGCTTGCCCTCATATTTACCCTCATGCCAGCTGCCATCATCGTAGCGCTTGGCCTTCTTTCCGTCCTTGCCAGGGTGGTATTGACCATCGTCAAAGCCGGTGCCGGGGCCCTCATACTTGCCTGGTAGTGGTTAGTATGGAGAGTTGTTGGAGGAATTGTGAAGACTTACCAGGAGCCCACTTGCCGTCATCCTTGCCAGTATCACCGCCCTCATATTTACCTGATGCTGTTAGTATGAGACTGAATGATGGAATGAGGCAAGCATACCAGGAGCCCATGAACCGTCATCGGCGGGCTTTGCAGTGGGAAGGGCCAGAGCCGTAGCGGCAAAGGCGAGAAGAGTGTATGAGTAGCGCATGTTGAGAGATGAAAGTTTATATGTAAAGAAGGGTTGTTAAGAAAATTGTAGTAGAAGCGATTGAAGCTATAGTAAGAGTGGAAGCGACGGTGTTGTAGCGAAGGTTGTTGTGATTGTTGCAGAAGAGATGAGAATGATGAGAATGATAAAATTTAATCGAATGGAGGGAATCAAACGTTGTTTATATATACAATTGTATGCCGCTTGCTTCAAACTTTGGCAGCATCGCCCAGATCGTGGGCCCACCTCTAAGAGATGGTGGTGGCTGGCGCCACAGCGGGACACCTCACTCCAACACTCAAACTTAGTCTCTGGTAAGGCTGAGCTGGAGCTTGACGGCCGACATGAGTTAATGTCATGCCCTACGTCAATTAGCAAAAGGTTACTATTTTCGGGTGCCCCGTGCTTCCACGAGAACTTGGGAGTTGCTGCGCCTGGATCACGCCAGGTTAAGATCAGCGCTAGCTGCTGCGCAATTTGAAGCTATCCCCAAATTGTCAGGGCTGAGGCCTCGATCGCGAGTGGAGAGGTCAGCCCCCAAGACCAGTTTATCCCGCAAGTTGTAACTGTCATGCCCGAGAAACTGGGCTTTGGAGCTGAAAGAGGTAAAGGTCAGCTGTGCCACCGCCCTTCCTCACGAGGTCTGCGTTGTCAATCTGATCTTGACTTGAGTAATGGAGGATGAAGGACTCAATCCTTCTCGTATCCTTTGGTGATCTGATTGTGAAAGTGTTGATGTTTGCATCCACCGTTGCGTAATATGTTGGTCGCAAAGTGTAAACTTCAAGCCCAGAAGTTCAGCTTTGCGGCAGGCTCTCGAATCTCACTAAGCCGGAACGTTCTATGATGGATACTCCAGCCAAGCCAAGAATAAGCTCAGCCCGCTCCAGAGCCGATGGTTTCGACCCATTGCTTTAGCTAAGCTTAAAAATAACCAATTGCACAGCCCGATTCAAGTCTGACATGAGTAACCAGAAAACGACAATACTCCGTCTGAATAGTTTTGGGGAGTACAAGAGGCCTCGGGACTCGAGAATGGCGGAGGCGGTTGAGGGTGTAGGGAACAAGACATGCAGAGATGGTGCTATCGATACGAGACTTTGCGTCGCGCACCTGATGGTTTTGAGAACATGGTCCAGAACTAACCTTGGAACAAGCCTATTTTTACACTATTCATCAACCGTCCGATTAGATCTTGACTGAGCTTGAATAGATGCCGCGGCAGCTCTTGAGCTTGTAGGCGAAGGATGCATTATACACTTTACACTTTATCCCGCCCTGGAGTAATATTTTGGTGAAAAGTGAATCTTAACTCAGCTACCGGAGTTTCATCCCCGTCATAGAGGATCAGCACAAATGTCACCATCCGTATGCATAATTGACAGCTTTTTGGTCCACCCAGCTCTGAGCCTCAGCGTCACATGCCCCCAACTTGAGCTTGATGTAATGTAGCATTGCTTACTATGTACTTCTGCAGTTGGCTCAAAACGCGGGATAATTGCGTAAGCTAGGTTAGTCAAGTTTCTGAAGCTGAACATCGATGATGCTGAGAAAGCTGATGAGGCGCTGTTTGTAATTATCTCTTGATGAATGCAGAACTTACCTTGGATGAAAGCTGAATGAGACATGTGCAAAAAATTGGCATTACTCTGTCAGCAATCTGTCAGAAGTTTCAGTAGGTCAAGTCTCTCTCCAATGAGTGTTCCGCTGAAAAACTGGTTTCTGGCGTCTTACTGTAAGCGTAGTCCTTCTTTTCGTATTCAAAGGACATCATACGGTTTTTCTCAGTATCACGTCAGCATGAACTTCATATCACGGTTTCCTAGCATATAAAAGACTCCGTTGGAACTAGGAAAGAACTTTGTGCGACCATCTATCGTTTGGAACTTCGGTTGACGAGAGTTTCGACAGTCCTCTCTTCCTAACAAGCATTCACTAAGTGAAAACTAATTGTAAGCCGCGAGATAGACTCCACGCTGGTCGAAGAGAATCAATGGACACAGTACGGATGAAGCTTCAACAAAACGCGCCCCAATACTGAACATCGATTCGAACCGTCATCAAAAGACCTGCAGGTTCAAGTGAACTGCCTATGTCATTTGTCACTCAATCCTTAACGAACAAAGTACAGGTACAGCATGAACACCTCCATACCCTTTTCTTGCAAGTGTTAGTTGTACAAGAGCTATATTTCCTCACAGGCATGGCTTGAACTACACAAAAGCGCCTGCTCAGAGCTCCTTCAACCCAAGTCGCCTTACCCTGCACCACACAACGACTTTGCTAGCTCCAATACCGGACTAGGCTCTTTACTCGGTATCAGATCCCCTTTGCCGGGTTGTTCGCCACCTCAGCCAATTTTTCTCAATCGCTGAATGTTCGCTTCTTCAACCACCTGTTCACCAACTCCAGAGCCTCCTTCGGCTTGCCTTGGGGAACCTATGAGGGTTTTTTAGCATGAAGTCCCTTTCCGCGTCGAAGATCTTACCATATGACCAGCTCCATCGACGGTAGCGAAAGAGAACGTTGTCTTCTTGTCTTCATCACCCATCTTGACCTTGACCTCCTTATACCATCCAAACTCATCGCCTCCAGCTCCCCAGGACTTCGGTCTTTGCGCAACATACTCCGGCTGTCCCTTCCAGGGCATACTGTTACTCCATCTCAAGTTACCGGCTGTGTTGCATGCAAGGTCCAGGTTTCCTTGATACATCAACACGTCAATTTCGTGGTTGAGCAGGTACAGAATCTGTGACTGGGTGCTGATTTCCTGATCATAACCCAAAGTGAATGCTATTGCGACGTCTTCTGAGGCAATGGAATAATTCGTCACTGCACTGGGTACACCCAAGGCATCGAAGACTTTCGGGGAGTTGAGATACTTCTCAATCAGTGCTGCTTCCTTATAGCACATGTCATCGTGAGATTCACAGGGCGCGGTGATGTCGAATCTGTTCCTATTGCCGCCAGCCCCAGATTCGTCATCGTACCAACTGATTACTCCATCCCAACAAACCTTCCATGCAGCACTGCAGATAGCATGATCGGGATGCTCATAGCATACGCGAGCGAGGTCAAGGCATCGTGGGAGGTTAGCAGCCATAATATCACAGCGTGTACTGTTGAAGATAGGCTTGTCAATACCGGGATTTGTGGTGCAAAGCGTTTCCCAGTATCCGAAATGGGTGTCCAAGGGTGAGACATAGCCGTTGCCGATGAGAACTGACTCAAGATTAACTTGGGGGCGCTTAGGGTAGAGGCTGTTCTGTGCAACAATAGTCGCTCCCAGAACGGGGATGTAGTGGCCCTATAAAGTCAGTCATAGCGCTTTCAGCAGAGCAAGCTAGGTTACTTACCCCGTAACTCTCCCCGGAGATATGGAAGGGCCTGTCAGCAAGATCTGGAAAGACTTGGCTCACAAACAGCTGCAAGAACTTATGCATACTCTCAGCCGCGACGAACGAGTTTGTTGGAATTGGCTCCCCTTCATCCAAGTAAGAAAAACCAACACCAGCAGGCTGGTCGACAAAGATATAGTTCGCATTCTCATTCCATCCGTAAGGGTTGTGAACCGTTCCATTACCATGCTCGTTAATCAGACACGGTCCAAGCTCTTGAAGCAATCCCAGCATTGATGAACCGCCAGGGCCTCCAGTTAACCAAAGCACAAGAGGGTCTGTTTTCGGTGCGTTCTTGCTCTCAAAGTACCAGAAGAAAAGATGCTGGTTGCCGACATCGAGCCAGCCGGTGTATTGCTTCACGTGGGCGTCGCATATGGAGTCGTCAACCTGCTCTCTGATGCGGATCGTATGCTCTGGAAATAGCGAGCTTTGGTGAACTTGGAACGTGGAGGCTTGTGGTGAGCCTGTGTCTTTGAGAGGAATCTGGGACGCAAAAGCCCCAAGTGAAGCCCCCGCTAGGAGCAATACCGTTTTTAGAAAGCCCATCGCTGCAATCCTTCTTGGTGAACAAATTGAATGGGAATTTTGAAGAAGGTTAGAAATTGTCAGACGGTGAAGCTCTGGCCGGGAATGGTTATGTAATCCTCGCGGAAATGACGACAACGAGCTCACCAGGGTAAGTCGCAAAAGGTTTTGCAAAAGGTCCTGTCTCAACTTATCTTTAACCCCGCTTCCACGGCATCTCAATCCGTATAGGATCAGCTCTAGTCTTGATAAGGAAGCTCACAGCACATTTTTGGAGTTTTCCGATAAACCTGGAGACTACGGCAACGCGTCAATCAATTGAAGCTATTGAAGCCCGCGTGGCCTATCGCACGTTCTGATAAGACGGGTCAGAGATGGCCCGTGTTTTGCAATGGCAAGGGGCCAAACAGAGAGAGAGTTCAGGAATACCTTCAATTACTCGATCAAGTTTTATGTTCAAGTAATCATGACTTGATCTGACTGAACATTCACTATGCTCCTAACATAGTGTGTCATTTTCTCTCGCTACCCTCATCCAACGAGCATTCACAGCTCATTATCAAGGATCGATAGCTCAGTGGTACGAGCGAGGGATTGCAGATCCCTAGGTCGCGTGTTCGATCCACGCTCGGTCCTAAAAATGTTGTTTTTGAACACCACTTATTTTATATAACGGCTTTATTTTTATGTACAATGACTATGCTTGCCATATCAAAATTTACAAACAAATAAACATCCTCCTTTCCAAATTCCTGTCCTTACTTCTGTTTCCATGAAATCCTTTCGGTCATGAAAAGATACTCCAAGCACACCACCAGCAGAGCTACACTCGTACCATCACCAAAATACCTGTGGAGGATCAGGCCATTCCAAGTAACTGAAAAGCAGGTCCTTGATGAAGTCGGGACACTGTTCAGCGATATCGTCATACCATTCTCTTGACTCTATTGCCTCCTTTTTTCCACGAACCGGGCACCTCATGAACTTTACGACCTGTTCCCGCAGTTCCTGTCGATGCTCTGGGGTTGATTTATAGACCTGGGGGATCAAAGCGAGAACTTCTTCCAACTGCTGAGCGTGGGAAATGCCGATACGGAACTGCTCCGCTGCATATTGAGCAAGTGGTTCAATGCTGTACATATCACCCAGCGCGAACATGTAAATGTGGTCGGCGAGAGTTGAATCCTTGGAGAATTTCGTGTGGTACGTTCCCATGTAAAGGAAATCAATCAGCCATTTTACATGGTCCACAGAAAATTCTGACAGATCGTACTCGCTTGTGGAAGATTCCTGCGTAATGTTAGCCACGTTTATCAGTTTTGAAAGGCAGACTAACCTTGAACAGCCCGGTGCATGCCATATGAAAGACCTTTGATTGACTGCAGACGATGACCTTGTGGACTGGGAATCGAGCGGCTCCGCAGATGAAGTTAAAGTCCGTGAACTCATGGTTCTGTCTGGCTCTGTAGACAAGAATTAGTGAGCTGTTCTGATAGATAGGAGTCAAGGAAGATTCATACTGCCAGAGGCTCTTTCGAAAGTTTCTACTTTCATAATCCATTTTGAATGAAATTTTGTTGATTTCTGGATATGATGTAGGATTGTTTGACGGGTCAAGTTTGATTTCATAAAAGAATGAAGGAGAGAATGATATTTATATCTGGATCAGCAGAATAAATTTTACAAACAGCATCATGTTGGCGAAGTATATCTTTCAGAAACTTGCTATACTCAAGAGCTATATAGTCAATCGCATTTTGGCTTATGATTTCCTGTTTGGCCTATTTTGAGATGCATGTTACGTTGAGCATGTAAGATCACTCTTACTCCTGGTTTAGATGAAACCCATCAGGAAACAGACTTTGAAATCACTAAAGCTTATAAAATATAGAGGGCATATGATTCGTCCGTTCCTTCACGCAGTGCCAAGATTCTCTGAGAGTATGCTTCACCACGCAAAGCATAAACTTCACGCTTTAGTGTGTACAAAGAAATCCTTTGAATTCTGAGCGATTGAGCCTGAATCTTCGGGTTGCTTTAGGTTTACGAGCTTCTTTTACAACTTGAACCAACGATTGGTCCACCTGGAGCAGTAGCCCGGCGTTTTATGAGCACCTGACCTCTGCGGCCTAATGTTTGTATCATCCACGACAACTTATAAACGGGAGCTTGTCAGCGAAGGAGTCCGTTTGTGATTTTCTTTATATTTTAGTACCTACAGCCATGAGCTCTTCTCTTCACCTAAATTACCAGCCAGTAGAAGACCCTATATCTAACACCACTGGTCAAGTGCAAGGAGTAACATCTCTATCTCTATGAGCAACCAGGTGAAGCCCATGTTCATCTCGTTATTTGGCACTCACAGGGATTCAGGACCTAGAGTTGAATCTTTGCATAAGTTATCGTAAGATTTCTTGAAACCTTGCACAAAATAATGGTAGTCGAATATAGCTAAAGGATAAGAGTTTCATAATACAAAAAAGTTTAGTATATCTTCTCTAGACTCGAAGTATGCTAATAATTTTACCACTAAATAGCTATTGCAATAGTGATTTATACCAACCCCTAACCCTTGGAGTCCAACAAGTCCGTTCCGATACTATTGATCTGGTTTTTGTAGATACATACGGTACGGGATCATATCCCGTATTTCCTGAGATACCTTCAGTGAGCGAGCTTGTTGTTTGCAATCGCCACATCTTGACTTCAGAGGGGTACTCATGACAGACATCATCACCTCCTTCAGGAAGTCCTGACTAGCGTCAGAGATCTGGTCGATCAAACCCTTGGTGACCTCCCTACATGTGCAAGTCAGTACTCTCTCCCTCGTGTGAGCGATTGCCGCATCGATAGCACCCCTGGAAACCGATGTGGGCAGTTCGTGCAGCACCGGGAGTGAATTGAGAAAGTCTTCCAGTTCAACATGCTTATGTTTTAGTCGGCGAATATACAAATCGCTGGCCTACCTTTGAGTGCCTTGGATGTCATACTTGTCTGCCAAGGCCAGCATCGATGAATGCATCGAAAGGGATAGCTTGGATGCAACTCTAATCCGAACATCGTAGTGGCCGACGTAGAAGTAGTCAACCATCATCTCGGCTAATTCCAGGGAGTACTCGCTCAAGGCATAGACTCCAGACCTGGCTTCCTACAGAGGGACCAGTATATGGTCACTGTAGTTTGATTTGTACTTACTTACCTTGAAATCACTGGTGCAAGCGGCATTGAAACCCTTGGATTGTGCACAGGAATAGTTTTACCTTTGCAGAGAAAGGCTAATTCAGTGAACTGACCAGCTTTTTGGGCCCTGGGAGATGTTGAGCTTAGACGGAATGCGAAAACAACTTACCTCTGCATGAGCCTCCGTTCCTCAATATTCATGATGATGATTGATATTGTATTTTAGCATATGGGAGGGGTTTAGTCTTCCACGTCGCGGATGGAGGGGTAGTAGGGATATATAAGAGAGATGAACAAGATTCTCTTATGGAAGACTGTTCGAAGTCGTCCTTGGCTGAGAGCTTATAATTACCACACCAAAGTTAGACGATGTAATGGAAAGGCTAATTGCGGGAAAGGTATCCGACCACGTATCAATTCGCTCTATTGCGTTTTGACTTTTCTAGGAGATTCATTAAAGGAAACTCTGACCACGAATGCCAAAAGTATAGAGTGAAAGGCCAGCTAGTTTCCGTGTCACTCTAATCGATACGAAAGAGGCATAAATAATAACAGATAAATTTATAAGGTTCGAGTTAATAGCTCATTGCTAATGGTGTGAGCTCCCATTCATGCCAGAAGTGCAAATGTCACCCCTTGTCGAGTACCAGGCGTACCATACTTGAGGCATCCTATACAGATATTCTACCAGTTTCATCACTTTGCTCACTACTAATACTGGAAAAGACTTTAGGCACTGAGGCAGCGGCGTCTATTGGGATGTTCGGCTTTCTTGGAACAAGCATGGCTGTAGATGCTCGGCATTTATCTCATCCTATACCATCTGCGGTAACCCGTATCCTTCCCAATAGAGACATTCTCATCCTCACCAAACTCGTAGTCCAATAGCTTACTCCACGAGCGGAGGCTCAGCCCTGCGCTGGCGCCCCCTTTTCCACATTTTTGGCATCGACATTGGAGGATTTCGATCGGAACGGTACCTCGTGAGTCACAAAAGAAGTTATCACAAGTCCCCATCCGCGAGAATCGGAGAGAGAGACTCAGGAGGTCTCTCGCAAACTCTGGACAGTCGTACATGAACTCGTCAATGACCGCTGCCAGCTCAGTTGCAGCCAGCGCGGTCCCCATATTGTCTCTAGCAAAGACTAGTGCCCCAACTCGAAGGGTCTTGGATGTCTCCCTAGGGAGGTTGTAAACTTGCGAGATCGAACTGGCGAAATCGTGATAGTTGCAGCTTTCGTCCAAGCATTCCAGGTACTTCTTAATTGCAAGCTCTTGTAGGCCGCCAATGCCGTACTTGTCTGCTAAGGTGAACATGGTTGCATGTGTCAACAGGTCAGCGTCATCTGGAGTCGCATAAGTTCCAGTGTAGAGGTATTCTACCATCCTATTCACTATATCAAGGGGATGGTCGTTCAAGTCATATATCCCGGAGGAAGCTTCCTGGGCCTTGTCAGTGGGCATGCAAGTGTGCTTGGCGACAAGCGGTACCTTGAACTTCCCAGTGCATGCTTTTTGAAAGGCAGTGGACTGGCCGCAGACGATGATCTTGTGAACTTTGATTGCTTGCCCTTCGCAGACGAAGGCGAAGTCAGTGAACTCGCCACTTTCGCGCGCTCTGTCCGAGGTTAGCAGGTTATACAGGGCAGAGGGACATGAGAAACATCGTACTTCTGCATACGGAGTCTGTCTTCAAGAAGAATCATATTGAAGGAGAATGAAAAATGCTGCTCTGAGTGGTTGATACGAGATGCAAAAGTAACTGCCAACTTGGCGTGCACAAAAGTGGTTTATATGCTACTTCTGCCCCTCCCATGCAAATAAAAGAGGTGGTCGGGCAATATGCAAGCCCCAGTCCCCTGTGAGTCCTTCCTCCAATAGTTCAAATCCCCAGAGGCCTTCTGTTCAACTATCTACGCCACCAATGTTGGTAGGCCTCCCAGCCATGAACAAGGCGCCTCAACCGAGCCAGACACTCAGGCTGGCTTGAAGATGGTCGACCTCCCATTTTCAACAATGGACGACATGCGCCACCAGATAATAATCACGTATCTTCCTCCGCTTCCACGACCTCGCTCAACAGTTCCCGCATCGGACCAACGTGATCCCACATAAAGTTCTGAAACACCTCCTCATCCCTGAAGAGTTCGGCTTGACAGATAATGTAATCTGCCACAATCTGTCGCAACCTCGTGGGGACAAACTTGCCAGAAGTCAAGACGAGCAGCTCCATGACAGTATTCCACGAATCTCCCCAAGGTATCGTCGCTTCGAGGGCGAGGAATAGCTTGCCCAATGATATCTCCATCAACTTATCCATGCAGTAGCGATCCGCGAAGGCGCAAACCCGAGCATGATGTAGCAGCGTATCTGCACCGATGTTCCCTACCTCGGATTGTCGAGGGATGGGGGCGTATTTCTCAACAAAGTCTTGCCAGAGGCCGCGAACTCCGTGT